ATGGATGGATGGATGGATGGATGGATGGATGGATGGATGGATGGATGGATGGATGGATGGATGGATGGATGGATGGATGGATGGATGGATGGATGGATGGATGGATAGATGAATGGATGGATTGATGGATGGATGGATGGATGGAGGCGGTGGTGAAATTAATTCCTCTAAACCGTTTCCATAAACCATAACATCGCGATAGGCGGTCAAGAGATTAATAATAATAATAATAATATATTATTATTATTATTATTAACCCCAGAAATGATAACTCACTGAAAAGTACAATTCATATGCTGTGTAGATTAACACGTGCACACACGTGCACACATAAACATACATACATGCATACACTGATACACACATATACATACATTCATACACACACATACAAACATACATTCACAAATACACACATACAAACATGCAAATATACAACGGCAGACAGACAGACAGACATACATACATACAAATATAGCGACAGCCTAAATCTCAAAACCTTGATAGCACAAAAATTTATTCTCGCTATGGGTTCTTGGTCTGGATTCATTAACTGTACCAGCGTTCATTTAATAATAATAAAAATAATAATAACAATAATAATAACAATAATTATTGTTTTTATTATTGTTGTTGTTGTTTTCTTTCAGCAAATACCATTTCTTTATTGCTATTACAACAACTGGTACGCTTTCTACTGTAGATTCAACTGCTACTACTACGGCTTTTGTCGCTACTGTAGTAGCTACTACAGCTGCTGCTACTGCTGTTTTTGTTCCTACTGCCAATACGTCTACTACTACTGCTGCTACTACTACTGCTGCTACTGCTACTACTTCTACTACTACTACTTCAATTGCTGCTGTCTTCAGTTTCACTGTCATGATAATTCTAAAGTGATAAAAACTTTCATCGTCATCATCGTCGTCATCATAGTCATTATAATCTCTTTTATCATCATCGTTAAACTTTTTCCTGAAAGCTTCTCAGAGCGGAAAATGAAGTATATTGTAGATGCATGGATAGATAGATGAACTGATAGATTAAAAGATGGATGAATGGTTGGATGGATGGATGGATGGATGGATAAATGGATGGATGGATAAATGGATGGATAGATAAATGGATGGATGGATAAATGAATGGATGGATGGATGGATATTTCTAAATTTGTATGTATTCAAGTTGTTATATGTTTAAGTAAAAATATGGGCCTAA